AATAGAAAGAAAATAATGCACAGAAAGGTGAAACTGTTAATCTGTGTACTGTGTTAAATTAATTATTAAAATAATTAACGAAACAATTTTTAATTTCAACTACGCATTATACTCTTAATGACATTCTAAGGTCTCATGTTTGAACTATTGGTACTAGGCATTGATATATATACTTTGATCTTGACTGTCCAGATTAACAGGAGTTGAAAGAGCCTTAGTGCCACATCACGCGACGATACAAACGCTCCGATTCGGAGTGGCACCTAAGAATCGTTGATACAATACCAATACAACTGTGGTAGGGCCACGCAACAGCTTTCACTGTTGCAAGAACAGGCAGGTCCGCCCTGGGGCGTGCCATACCACACAAAAGACCGGTGTAAAGTGGAAATTTTACACTTCTGCGTTTCGTCTAGTTATTGAGGTAACCGGAGCAGATTTATTTTATCATCATCATTTCAGACGATTTAATTAAAAGTTCGCAACGCATTTGAAGCAAGAGCCGTGATAGCTCAGTGTCCAGGCGCTCGCCTTTAATTCAATATACTCGAGCAACCTGAGTTCGATCCCCGGTGCCGGCACCAATGAAGTTTTTAACTTTAAGTGCTGACTTATCACGTGCTCCGCGGTGAAGGAAAACATTGTGAGGAAACCTGCATATTTTCGAAATAATAACAAAAAAAAATATTTCAAAAATATGTGAAGTCCGCCAATCCGCAGAGGGGCCGCATGGTGGACTATGCCCTGATACCCTCTCTATAGAGGAGGCCTCTGCCCAGCAGTGGGACATGTATAGGCTGCTACTTTACTTTACTTTAACGCATTTGAAATCCTACGGGTGTCGCAAATGTCCATGCCAGCACCAGCTCCGCCAGCTCGCTTGCCACCACATAACTTAAAACAAAGCTCGTTATCTATTTACACCATCCAAATGACCGATGAGTTATATAATTCTAAATATATGTAAAGAAAAATATTATTTTCTTTTATTTAAATATTTTCTTTAATTTAAATATTTCCGCGCACCGGCCGTTGATAAAATTTATTTTAAAAACTATGTTTGTACGCCGGATTATAACAGAAAAAGAATTAAGCTGTCATATGAAGCAATTCATGAAAATAATCTGATTACAAAGATATTTAATAAGTAAAATAGTGATTTAGGAATCGACATTGTGATTATTAACATTAAATGTCGTTTCTTTAATTACAGGTAAAGTTTTAATAGTAAAATCTTTTATTTTTGTTATTTTAATTATTATTTGTTATAGTTTCAAAATCTTACAATAAATCTTTAATTACAGAGAAACTCAATTGTGTTTTGATTGCTGTGTCATCCTAAACACTGAAAAATATTCTTATAAAACATGATTAAACTAGAAGATATCCTAAAAGATCAAGTTAACAATAGAAATATACAGTCCATAAAAGAAAAATTGTTGAAAAAAAAAATGTTTATTATAAATAAGTTAAGAAAAGGGAAAAAATAATTCTATCATCAGAGAATTTAGTATAGGATTAATCAAAAGTGTACATACAAACCTAGGTCATTTAGGACTTAATCAAATGCAAAGAATGATTAGCTCATTGTATACAGGCAGCAAAAAATATGACAAAAAACATAAAAAGTATCTGCGAAAGTTGTATAGTATGTATAAAAAGAATAAGTCCAGAGGACAAAATAAATATGGATTGATGTCCCAATTGGGCCCCGCTACAAAACCTTTTGAGATATGTTCCATTGATACCATTGGAGGCTTTGGGGGTTCAAGGTCGACAAAGAGATACTTGCACCTGCTATCAGATCATTTCACTAGGTACGCATACATTTCAACATCAAGTACTCAAAATGCAAATGATTTCATCAAACTAGTGAAAAACTGTGCAGAAACAGACGATATCGGCATGATTCTCTCAGACCAATATCCAGGTATAAATTCCAAGGAATTCAAACGATTTTTGGATGAAAAGAATATTCCAATAATTTTTACTGCAGTGAATTCGCCCTTCTCAAATGGTTTAAACGAAAGACTAAATCAAACGTTGGTCAATAAAATAAGATGTAAGATAAACGAAAAAGACACTAAAATTGCATGGGCAACTATAGCACAAATGTGTGTAAAAAATTATAATGAAACGGAGCACACTGTCACTGGTTATGCTCCAAAGTATCTTTTAAAAACGGCACAGATGTTGCAATTCTGCCTAATGAACTAAAACGTAAGAAGACCGAGCAAGATCTGATCCAAGACAGGAAAAAGGCTCTGGTAAATACAATGAAATCACATAATTACAACAAGAAAATTTACGATAAAAATCGAAGACATATAGAATTCAAAGTTGGTGATGCTGTTTTTTGTGGACAATGGAAACAAATTGAATAGGAAAAAGCTTGATGAACTGAGAATCGGACCCTACAAAATTATAGAAAAAATATCAACATCAATTTACAAGATAAACACTGACTGTAAGAAATTAGAGTCAAACTATTTCCATATATCGAAACTAACTCCTTGCTATGCTTGAGAGACCATAAAGAGGATGTGTAGGTAGTCGTTATGTTTTATCTTCTCTGGGAGGGGGAGATGTAAAGAAAAATATTATTTTCTTTTTATTTAAATATTTTCTTTAATTTAAATATTTCCGCGCACCGGCCGTTGATAAAATTTATTTTAAAAAACTATGTTTGTACGCCGGATTATAACAGAAAAAGAATTAAGCTGTCATATGAAGCAATTCATGAAAATAATCTGATTACAAAGATATTTAATAAGTAAAATAGTGATTTAGGAATCGACATTGTGATTATTAACATTAAATGTCGTTTCTTTAATTACAGGTAAAGTTTTAATAGTAAAATCTTTTATTTTTGTTATTTAATTATTATTTGTTATAGTTTCAAAATCTTACAATAAATCTTTAATTACAGAGAAACTCAATTGTGTTTTGATTGCTGTGTCATCCTAAACACTGAAAAATATTCTTATATATATATAAATTATTATATATATAAATTATTTCTAGAGGAATCGGAACGCACGCATAAGTGTTTCACAGGTTAAACAGACATAGTTGATAGGTTGACAGGTACAGCTTGTATGGGAAAATAAAATTGTTGCTATTTCGATTTTCCATGCTATTTTTCCATAATTTATCATCTTTTAAACCTCCCCAGAACTGCCACGAATATATGAAAACCAAAGTTAGCCAAATCGGTCCAGCCGTTCTCGAGTTTTAGCGAGACTAACTAACAGCAATCCATTTTTATATATAAGAAGATTTTATAATTTTAGGGAAACTAACAACTAGCAAATAAGTATTCATTATCCAACAAAGGATTGGATAATGAATACAGAAGGCCAATTAAAAGTTTCCACAATTAGATAAATACAAAAGTATATAATTCGTACAATAATAAATACCGGACGTAGTAGATTTTACAATGACAATTATTCTCAAATTTACAAAATCATATTTTTTTTAAAAACGCGTTGCTAAGCAGTTTTTTAATCTGATTGACAGAAGTATAATACAAATATAATTACATCATGACGACCCACGTGGTGTAGTAGGTAGTCGTGGTAATCTGCCACTTGCACCAGAGGGTGTGGGTTCGATCCCCACTACTGGAAAAATATTGTGTGATGAACATAATGAACATAGTGTATTTCTAGTGTCTGAGTGTTTATATATGTATAGTATGTATTTATTTACAAAAGACAAGTATCTTTAAGTATGTATATCAGTTATCTAGTACCCATAGTACAAGCGTTGCTTAGTTTGGGTCTAGAGGACGATGTGTAAAGATGTGTCCTAAAAATATTTATTTATTATTTATATTATTTATTATCAACCTTGAAAGCCGTCAACATAATACCAGTATATAGCTATTGTGTCTTTCATGGTCATAAATTGGCCGGTGTACGGAATACAACTTACAAACAAATTAACTACGTAATACACTAAATAAAAACCGATGCTTTAGATAATATATGTTTCCTTTTAAGTCTAATGGGTATATGATTCAGCCTGTATGACTACCACGAAACTATTTAGTTGCATAGCATTCTCTTGGAAATTGGCCAAAATTGAGTCGAAAGGCTACTGACCAGTTTCGCGAAATTTTAACTAAGCGCATGCGATTTCGATAAAGCTTCGGCACCAGTTCCTTTAACTTACAGCTGAAACATATTTCTATAGGCGACAAACTAATTTGCAAGCCTCTACGGGGTTATATAAAACTAAATTATACCCACAATTTATCTATTTCTTTTATAGAATTGGAGAAATATCAGTAGATATAAAAATAAAATTGTTTCATTAACAGAATGAGAAATATCCTGTTATTATTCGACGTTTATGCGGACAATGATGCAGGTTAAGCAAGTAATTTGTAAGTTTGTAGTTGCTTAAATTCAATAGTCCATACCTAACCTTAAAAGTAATGTTATTGTCTTTAATGGCGTGGCCCTACCACAGCACAGTTAAGATTAACTACCTTAGAATGTTCTGAATCACAGAATATTTTATTTGGTTTTGATATTTAATGATATTATGATCAGTAAAACGAAATTAGAAATCTTAGTATATAGTTTTTATATTAATAAAGAATTATTGTTACTTTAACTTTTATTTTTGCTTTGCCAACAACCTCCATTCTAATTCCGAACGATAGTACACTCACAACGTAATATCAGTATTGCGGTTCGCATAAAACGTGAAAAACGGATGGTTTTTCCCATTTACGACGGCGTATTATTTTTTATACTGACAATATTACCACTGCGTGCTTTCTTTGTTAAGTTAAATTGAAAACTGTGATGGCTTATTTCATTTCGCATTATTTACACAGTAATTAGTGTACATTGCTGCATTTGCTTGGCGCGTTTATGATGCGCGTTTATGATGCGTGTTTTTTTATTTTTTTATCTTTTCATTGCCCACAATCTTAAGTAAATCGTCGCTCCATTTAACCCCCGGCTATTCCCTTTAATAACCCTATGCAATATCGCAGATTCTCATGGGCCCTGGAAGCTTTAGAGAACATCTGTATCGACTGGAGCTCAGCGAAACGATGGCCTGCCCGTGCTGGAGACATGATGAAAAGGAGAAAGACAATGTGCTTTGGGACTGTGAAGTGTGGACTGTGGACCCAGGAGGGGAACGAGATGTTGGAGAGCCTTAAGCGAACAGCCATTGGACTAGTTTGTCACCGCGGTCTAGTTTGCTGCCCGGATAACTACAGTCTGTTGCGCAAATTTGCGCACTCCAAACAGACGCATGGATCTGGTGTAGACGATATTCCGAAGAGAACAGCGAGCGTGAAGTACTGTTCTGTGCTGTGTAACGCCCCAGAAGGGGGAGAGTGTTTTGAAGATCAGGGACGGAAGTCGAATTTGTAGCGAGTCAAGAGAATGCGCACGGGAAAGAGCCGGAGCAAGTACCGTATGCATCTCCCGCGATTTTGGTCCGTTATGCTGCAAGGCGGGTAGGACCATGGGTTGGAGCTGGGACATGTTCCCTGTATTATCTAGAGCATTCGTAATGTACGTGTTACTCTGAGGGAGAAGAAGACCCTTACAGAGATGGTTTAAATAAAAAACACTTAGAGTTTTTTTTTATGTGAAAAGTTGCGAAGCGAGCAGGCGGTTCACCTGATGTTAAGTGAATACCGCCGGCAATAGACATCTACCACACGCGAGGGCTTGTAGATGCGCTGACAGCCTTGTAAAAAGTGGGCCACGGCTACCTCACTCATCAGACGAAACGCGAAAGTATTATATTTCCCCTTTATGCCGGTCTTCCGTGAGGTCCTGGTTCTGGAAGGACCTGTCCATTCGTGCAACAGTGAAGTCGGTTGCGTGACCCTAAGACGGTTAAAGTTGACAAACTTTAACTGTGGTAGTGCCCTACCAAGAAGCAAGAGAAGAAGAAGAAAGAAGAAGAAGCAAGAAGCAAGAGTTGACCAATGTGTTCTCAAAGTTTGTAAGCCATTATTCAACGTCGTTTTAACTTGAGCTATAAAGGAGGAAAAGAATATAGGTATAACTAATTATTGAAAGAATTTAGAATTATTAGTTCAATTCACACTTTTTTAAAGTCTAGGCAGTAGTTAAGCCGTGGACGTTCTATTGATTCAGTTGATTCAAATTCCGTTTATCAAATTGAAATTGAAAAAAGACTAGGGATTGACTGGATTTCGGACTTCAAGGTAATTGGGGGGACGGTGAAAGAGAAATGGAAGTGATGAGACCTTACTGAATTGGAAATTATAAAACTTCTCCTTACGTTACTCCTCGGTAATGGGAGTAATTATATATTACATAAATAATGTTATTATTTATATGAGTTACGAAGAGAATTTAAGTCTATGAGGGGTCAACTCAAGTATCATTCATTCATACGTATTCAACTGTGTAGTAATTTAACTCTTGTAATACGGTATTGATTGGTAAAAACAATATCGTGTGGCAAGCTTTCTAAACATCTTTATGCTATCGACATAAAAACATGTATGCCTCTCAACGACTTTCGTTACGACACATTAAACTTTATTTATGTAGGATCGGAAATGACCCCGTAAGAGTCACCAAAAAAGGAATGTTTCAATTAATATTGTGATTCACTTTCTTTCATTATTTATATACTAACTTACGCTGTTTTAATTTAGTATTAATATTGCAACTTATTTTTCTTTTTAGACGACCAAAGTAGACTTTTTCCATTAAAAAATATAATATGTAGAGATAGAAAAACAATTTTTATTAATTCACAAATGTATATACAGAACGTAAACTCGGCAAGTGGCTAAAAATTGCTTAAACATACAAAGACTGCACTAACCCAAGAAATCTAAAATAGGTTAAGTAGTTTTAAAAAACATATTCTGAAAATGTGAAGAGGATTTTGTTCAACAACTAAAGTGTTGGCGCTACGCCGCCCACATCGTTGCATTATTCGTGGAACACCTGCTAACTGACGCACCACGCGTCGGGCAGAGTTTTGGAATGATAATAGTTTTTAACAAAAAAAAAAACAGACTTCAAACCGGAAACTAAAAAAGCATTGTTAGAACATTTGAGGATTGCACTCGATTTCTCTGGGATGCCATCACCAGATCTAGGTTTCCTTATCATGGTACCACCCTTGGGATATCTCTTTTCCAACAAAAAAACTATCATCAAAATGGGTTCATAAACGACGAAGTTATCGAATTGAGGAACCTCCTTCTTTTTGGAGTCGGTTAAAAACAATATTAGATACTCCAGATAATACGTACATATCTAAGCGAATCACAGAATAGATTTTGTAACTCAAGAGGAAGAATTTTTTTTCTTACTTTAAGAGTGATTAATACAATTTGTTACCTATTTTTTTACTTTGAATGAGACGCTGATCTCCAGGTACTCATGACCTTTGTGCAACGCACTCAGGTAAGGTATTGCCCATGCAGTGCCGTCTTATGCCTTTAAGCATTAACGTGAGTAATAAAATGTTATCCAAACTTAAAGCCGACAATGATTCGCTGGGCTTTAGAATGTTTTCAACATCACTATTTCGTAATTACTACAATTGTTCTGTGCTATGCACAGCTGCCTTTTCTGTCGCTTAAGTAAGTTAGACCATCCCTAAAAACCAACGTCTACAATACCCTCATTTTATTATTTCTGTTCAAGTGAGTTAGTTATCCTATCATGATTTTCCGTCTCCTAGTATTAGACCAAACATTTTTCTATCGACCTTTTCCCACACTTCCAATCTTCAAAGCCAAGGCTTAGTCTATCTCAAGAAGGTGTTGTACCCGTGAATTGCAACCTTTGTATGTTTACTCTAACCCATTTCTATCAAGTCAATACTACCATCACATATTTTCAGTGTCATTAAAATTTTGAGTAAGCTGTCTCAACCCGACGGGAATACTTTTAATCAAAAGTATTTCTCACATGAGCTGTTAACTGTACGTTTTGTAGATACTCGTACATTTGTATATCGAACGTCCTTGACTGTATGCTTTTACAGTTTTCTCTTGAACTAATAAACTTAAGTTAAGCTTTTAGCCGAGAACTTCGCTACAATTCACTGAGCGGAACAATTTCGTTATGAACAGCTCTTGGACGTCCTTTTAAAACTGATTTAGGAAACTAGTGCTTGTGGAAGTTGGCAACGAGAAGGTCGCAAAAAATATTTACGATATACATAAAGCTATTAGATAAGAGAAATTTCGTTTGAAGAGAAATTTAATGTATTTATTTGAATATCGATCGGTGGCGTGTATTGGTGTGCTTGTTTTCAATGCATTGTTCTATGGAAACTATGATAAAACTTCATAACTTCAACAGAGCTTGCACTTTAGAAAGCGGTCGTTGACAAAGCGCATGTCACATACATACATTACATTGTTGGATAAATAGGTGTTATTGTTATCGCTTATGTGCGGGGAACAGCACTAAAAAAGACTAGATGACGACTCAACTGCTTCGACATTCAATGTCACGGAATAGACAGTCCACTCTGAATGTACAATTTACAAAAACTTACCTTGAACAAGATTATAAATAATACTTTATTTATTAATCTTAACTTTTCCTCCATTTCCTTGTTTTTTCAATTATATTTACCTTATGGACAGTAAGAAAACTAGAAATTTAGCCCTGACTCTTTCAATCAATTCCTAGAATATCGAAGAACAAAGAGATTTCAAAAATTAATTTAACTTTGACCAATACGTGTTTGTTAAGGTGTTTGGGGTGTAAGCTGTTCTTGCTGAACGTAAAACTAACATAAAATACTTCAGATTAAGATTGATATTTTTTTTATCATAGCAAACTCTTTTATTTAAATAACACACTGCATAAAATTATAATTATATTTCAAACTTCTTTATTAAGGACTCAAATTTTAAAGAAAACGCATACAACGAAAACGGAATATGCCATTACGCATGCTACTGAGATTCGCACACCGCTAACTCATATTCACATATCAGTTAACGGATAAGATAACTGATATTCGGATAAGACAACTGATATTCGCACCCGATAACTGTGCGAAGACAACCAATAATAATAATAATAAAATATCTTTATTAACATAGACGCTTGCGCGTTCTTATGAAACGTCAAAATTTTACAAAGAAATTAACACGTTCGTAAGTTACCACAATAATTGAGTAACGAGCGATTGCAGACTCCAGCTCGTTTTCAAGTTAAAAGTTAACTCGGTAAGAGTCCAAATCCAAATCATCCAATGAACCATGGAAGATACTATATCCTGATTCCAATTAATTTACTTTTGCGCAGACGGTCGATTTACGGGGACTAAGTAAGTGTAATGCAATTCATTAAACAAAGTTTCCCGGCGAGCTCCGTTCCAAGGGAACTTCGGGCGGGTTAAATAATAAATCGAGCAGAGGAATACAATCTGTACATAACTTCTACTTAATAGAACAGAGTTGAAAATTTGAGAGAGGAGAAACGGAGAGACAACTTCCTCCTGAAATTAAACGGATATTGAATAATCAGGCGTTGTTAATGGCACTCGTATAATATACCATAACGCGTTTCATTTTTGCAATGTTCATATTGGGCTTATTAGGTCACAGTCACTGACCCTAGAAGGTATGGTGGAGATTAGAAAATTGTCACTTGTCACGATCTAACACCCTTACACCTTTAATTTTTGCCGTGAGCATGATTAATGTAAACTCATTATAATACGTGATAATTGTTGCTAACATACATATCCACTGACATTGCCATAATGTAATAATTTTTTTGGAACGAGTTGTTGAACACTTATCACTCCTAATTCTATTACAATAAATAATCAGACATTATTTTTAGGATTCCGTACCCAAAGGGTAAAACGGGACCCGATTACTAAGACTTCGCTGTCTGTCTGTCTATCTGTCTGTCTGTCCACCTGACTGTATCTCATGAGCCGTGATAGTTAGATACTCGTAGTTGAAAATTTCGCATATGATGTATTTCTGTTGCCGCTATAATTGCCGGTATTTACTTCCGGGCCTGAGAGGTAGGTATTTTTTCCTTTTATTTTGAAAAAAACATTGCCATTACTTTACGTCAATATTATCCTGTGTTGTAATGACGTTTTACAAACATAAATTTCACGCGGACATACACCCAGATGCGAAAAACTTTCTGTGGGTCACACAAATAGTTGTACCGTGTGGGAATCGAACCCACGACCCCTGACGCCGAAGCCAATACCTTGGCAACTGCGCCACGGAGTCATCAGCTTCAATTGTTACATGGAACAAGTAATGGTGTGACCTACAGATAATTGTTTTTAATCTGAGTGTTTGTCCATGTGAAATTTATGTATGTAAAGCGTCCTTACAGGATAATGTCATCCTATAGTAAGGGCGTTGTTTTTTTTT